GTTAAGGTTTACGGGCCCTTTCTTCTTTGGCAGGTGGAGGTCCTCTTCTACGGGCATCTCGCGAGAGATGTTCTCAGTGCTGCGGCGCCCTCTGACCTGAAATGAGTTGAATGCTTCAGGGTAGGAGGGCAACCCTAACGATAGAAGTGTAATGTGACCTAAACCCTAAATCCTAAAATGTGGGATCGTATGAGCTATAGTCTTAACTCCTTAAATGGGGTTATATAGGGAACTACTATAGGGGCTATTAAGGGGGATACCAGGAGTTTAGACTACAGATCGTATGGAGTTGAGGCCTGCGTGTCCGAATAGTCCTAGTCCTATAGGCGCATGGGCTCTAAAAGTCCCTCTACTATCATTCAGGCTACTATGTTGGGATCCATGTTGCTATGTAATATAGTGTATGAGGGTCTATATCAAAGTGTAGGGACTCCCAGTACGGGCCGCTACTTTTCGGAACCTACCATCATTGTGGGCCCATACATTTTGTGGAAACGCCCACATCTCCCTGTGTGCCGCGCCATGCCGCCGAGCTCGGCCATCTCTGGGAAGTGAAGGTAATCCATGATCCCCTGCAAATTCACGGGGAGCTACGGTGAACAAATTGTTAAGGGTTGGGGGGTATAGCCCTCATTTAGGTCTTGTTTACCCCTCTATGTAGTCCTGTTTGGGCAATGTAGCCCCTTACAGCCCTCTCGTGCACTCCACTAGATCCCTTGCAACATTGGGAAGACCTACACGTATATGGTGGATGTAAGAAATCTTGCACCACTCAAGATCCCCCAAAATGCCGTATTATCGGGTAAAGAGTCTACAAGGTGGCACAGGTTTGCTCCATCGCCAGTAATACATGTACCATTTTGGCGTCTTGCAGACTTTCCATATATATATATAAATATGGAAGTATATATATATATCCACATCTATCTATCTACTCAGAGAGAGAGAGAGAGAGAGAGACGGAGATAGAGAGAGAGGCCAAGGGAGACCACGACCACGAGAACGAACACGCCTTGTAGCAGGGAGCACATATGGGTCCTCATCATACTGAGGCATCCACATATGAGAAGTTGGCATGCTATAGAAAATCCGAGTTTGCCTCTCTGGAAGGCCCACAGAACCGCTGTGCCTTCCTCCTAAGTAGTCTAGAATCTGAAACTTGCCACTCAATCCTGAGACATAGATGGTTTAGGGTGCAGGGAAACCTTGCCCTTGGTTGTGATCCCCTTCTCAGCCCGCTTACCTACCCTCCTGCCCACAGAGTTTTCTCAAGGCCTTCGGGTACAGTGGCTCATCCGGTTGCCCGCCCCATGCTTGCAGCACATCATCCGTAAGATTGGCACGATCCTCAGCTGCGCAGCAGTAAGTTCAACAGGAAAAGGAACTTCAACTCAGAGAGTAACGTCAGAGGCTCAACGGCATACTTCATCATTACAACAGCGACTTTGCTGGCTTTTGCAAAGCACAAACTGGAACTATCTGCAGCCTGCATAGCTTCGGAAACATCCAGCATCTGCGCACGCGCATATGCCTGCTAAGGCTGCCACGGCTTCTGGTAGACGCTGTACAATGTCTCCTGGAGACTGTGGCATCAACTTGCTTTTGGATCAAGTTCTTGCCCTGGAAGCAACAGCTACAGTATTCTCCGGTACTTGATTGTGAGACATCTGCTCTGCCAAGCAAGACCCTCTCTCTTGCGCAACTGATCACGAGCGGCTGAGAGTTACTTACGCTTATGCTGTCGCCAGTTTGAAGTCCCCACAGGCTTTAAAGACTCCTGATCTCTGAGGCTTTCAACCCTCAAGTGCCAGTGTCAGTTTTGACAGCCTATGCTGATAAGAATAAGCTGCTGCCTCGAGGACGCGCACTCCTCCTCAACCGAAATCTCCCAAGCCCTTCCTGACACACCCAGCGCCCCGCTCCGAAGTGACTTCGAAGCAACCAGGGAGACTGGCAGCGCTTCGGGAAACCTTACTGACACGTGAGGACTTTTTAAGAACATGTTGGGAAGACAATGGGATGAAAGAGGCTAACCGTATAGAATTTGTATGAAGACCCAACAAGAACTGTGGGGAGAATCTTGCAGCTTCTGGAAATCCTGCAAATCGCGGTGTTGCAGGGAATCTGCAGGGGATGCCTGTTTTCGTAAATAGCCACCTGTCTGGAAAGAGCAAGAGGAGCACAATCAAGGCTGCTGTAACCTGGGTATTGCGAGAGTGAGAGGGTTTCCTGGTTGAGGGTCTGAACAGGAGCATCGTAGACGATTCCGGAGATGGGGCCGAAAACGTCTGACAACTTCAGAAAGCATCGCTAATCGGAATCCTGCCCTTCACTTCTGTACTAAATCCTTTGGGAGCAGCACACTTCCACGCCGGAAACAGGAGCACAAAGCTGAACCATTAACATGTGCTCTCTTAAGGCCCATTTGCGCTGATGATGCAATTCTATTACAGGATCAACTCCACTTGTGTGTGCCTGTGCCGAAGGATGCCCGCAAACCAAGAACGCACAAAATTCTCCTCACTCTGGAAATCCTAGCCTAAACCCTACATCTTAGATCACAAGCCCCAAAGTCCAAAACAAGTATATGTACATTCAAGTCGCATACGCCCTGACCCCTTCAACAATGCCAAGGGAAAGCGGCCCTGAACAGCTCTTAGACGCTTAGGAACACCGAACCCTGCATAACAGCTTCCACTTTCTTTTCCATCTATCTACTACTTGAACTATAGTCTAAACCCTAAACCCTAGACCATGGCTCAATTAGGGACTTGGACCGTTAGGTCAGGCAGCCACAGGCTCCGCAGTTTGCAGCTTGTCGCAGTACCATCGAGCCCAATAGCAGCAAACCTTCCTGTGCTTGGGCTTTTAAGGTCTAGGGCCTAGGGTTTAGGATTCAGGGTTCAGGGTAGGGCTAGGGTTTTAGAGTTTTCTGATAAGGGGATTTCGGGTACGCCTAGACTATGAGGAGGACGCTGTTATATAAGCCATATCATAGATATATCAACAGGTCCTAGTCCCAAGGGTTGGGCACACCAAATGCCAATCTCTTCTCATTGTTTCAGTCCACCCTTACGATCTACCCAGTGTTTAAGGTTTAGGGGTTCAGGCAGGGGGAGTTCGTAATCTAGGGTTTCTAACCTCAGGTCAGATCTCAACTTGTCTGGAGTGACCGTTTAGCATTGTTTAAAGGTTCATGCTGCAGGGGATCTAGGAAGCAACTCTCAGGGGCATGTCTGCGTCTGCCAAGACCGCATCGATGCTCTCCAACAGTCATCTTCACCACAAAGTTGATGTCTCGTACGTTATAGCATAATTTCAAATGCTGTTGCCCAAAGGCCCTAAAACGGGACAAATAAAAGGTAGCTGCCCATGACACGTAGGCACTGGCTCACGTGCAGCTGGGGTGCATAGCTGTCACTGCATTGGCGTTCCCTGACCCGAAGAACAGGGATCACGTCAGAAAAGAAATGTGGGAGTTTCCCTGAGGAAGGGGACCCAATGTAGACCCCAAAATGCTATACTGCTATACCTCTCAATATAGGGACCCCCAAACAGGTACCCCTAATGTTGGGAAGCCCCATGTCTCATAGAGCAACATTCTTCCGAAAGCAACACCTTTCTCACAAAGTGCTTGTCCAGATTCTGTGTGGGTTTCTCTGAGCGGGGCGGTCTCCCAGGGTCTTGAAAGCTGTTACATGCCTGTACTGGGTTTCCAAAAGCAGCTCCACTCTCAAGGACTGAAGTTCGTCGTCAGAGAATTGAAGCCACAGCACTTTTGAAAACAGTACGCTGAGCTGAAATTCCAAGTCTCTGCTTACCCTAGAAAACTTCAATCCTAAATTGCCAATACATGCCCAAACCACCATGTTCCCTAAACCCTAAACCCAAGGGTTGGGTGGGCAAAGGCCTACATAGATCATGGATCCGGCTCTTCGCCGACCGCGGCGTGGCCGACGACAGCAGCCCTCTGAGGCGCGGCAACGTGAGCCCCACCGTGAACCTCAGAATAAAGGAAGACATACCAGTACTACTGCTGCTGCTGCTGCT